CCCCCTTGCCCAGGAAAGTTACATCCTAAAATTCGTTCTATATGAGGTATGTACCTTGTATTCGTATACAAGGTACGTACCTTGTTTTCAGAGCCTTCGAGTTATCTTCATCGGATTGTGCTGCCCATCGTCGTCACCATCAGATTGCATTGTTGATCTTCATCATCAGAGGGATCGACGTGCATGTCGGTCGTGGTCTTTATCAATGGTGTTGCTCCCTGCTGCTGTCAACCAAAGTTGAGGGTTGTTGTCGTTGAGACTTGCGCTGCGCGAGTCTTGTTGTTGCTGATGGCTGGAAAGTTATTGGTGCTACGGTTGTTCCCAGCCTGTGTATTATGAATCACAGTTTGTGCACTCAAGCAGGCTATAACCTGCATTTTTTCGATTGGCGTTGTTATTTTGGGTTGAGGCTATCTGAAGGCTACTTCTACTCTGCATTGTGTCATGCTTCACATCGTATAGTTGTATGTTGTTGAGGCGCCACCACTGGTTGAGTGTCAAGGTTGCTCAGGTGTACGACATTGTTGCTGCTACGTTCAACTGCTGTTGAACGAGAGGTTGTTGCCGATAAGCTAGTGATGCGGTGTGAAATAAGTTGCAGACACTGGTTTGGTGGAAACCGGTGAGGTTTGAACACGACAACAAATTTGAAGGATGGCAAGTTGTCGATAGTTGCTAGTTGGTCTGCAGGCTGATGGTATGTTTGGAGGGCGTTGGTGCTGAAACCATGCGTTGCTATTTTCGGAGGCAATTGTTGCTATGCATCGTCACTATGTGGGGCTATTACAACGGTATTTGAATACAGCACATGGGGGTATGATCTATTTCAACGCAGCTTCAAGAAGTTTCGTCGGTCGATCGGCGTACCGAGAGTTGAGCGGTGACCAGCTCGTGATTGACACAAGCGGTTAACGGGTAGCTGAAAATTCAGGAATGAAAATTATAAACTGAGAGTTTTTGGCATCCTGAAAATTTTGAATGGTCTTGAAGTAGTGAAAGGTCCGAAGACCCCGAAAACCACCTGTTTAGGCAGGCTGCATCCTAAAGTGGTAAAGTGAGAGTTTTGGGCAGTCTGAAAATCTTGAATGGTCATGAAGTGGTGAAAGGTCCGAAGACCCTGAAAACCACCTATTCTGGAAGGCTGCATTATGAAGTAGTGAAAGGTCCGAAGACCCTGAAAACCACCTGTTTAAGCAGGCTGCATCCTGAAGTGGTGAAGGGTGTCTTGAAGTGATGATGAAAAATATGACTGTCGTTAACCTTCTCTCGTGATTGGGGAACTACTGGAGTCTTCGAATTTTCTGGAGTTTTTGCACTTCTTCAGACCACGATTTTGACCATTGACGTTGCGCGTTTCACCACCATTGTGGAGCCCTCTGAAGCCGAAGATTTCAAGGCTCTCTCACAAAAGTTGAGTTGACCCTGTTTTGTATCTCGAGAGTATGAAACCTCTTCTTTTGTCCTTCGCACTCTCAATTTAGTCTTTTGGTTAAGAGACGAAGACGGTAGGTGGGATTGGAAACCTGCAATCCACGCCAAGGCCTTTGTGGTCGGTTACCCCTTCGATTGCGGGAGCTCTACCGAAACCTAGACAAGGTTCTGGAGGCAGAGAACTGTCAGGTATACCTTCCCGCCTATTGCGACCCCACTATACCCCTAACAAATACATCGTTCTAGTTTGTTTGAAAGGTATATATGTGTTCCCTTATGATAATTGTTTTTTTTAATAATTTAATTATGTTAAACAAAAAGAAAACGTGCAGAAATCTCAATTTTTATTTTTATATTGAAATCATATTACGGGATGAACTGGGGGAAAGTGAGAGGAAGGTAATATTGCATGTGTTTGACAGGGTCAATCACACTTTAAGGTTGGAC